ACATATAAGCCTGCTCATAAATGCCATTTTGAAATCTGCTGGTCTTTTCTACCCACAACTCGTGTGGAAAGAGAGTTCCAGAACCTCCATTTTCTGAGGGTCAGAAGCATCCTGATTTCCTGTTTAATTTCATTCATGCTCTGTTTATATCCATTTGTATTCCTGCCAGCATTGTCCTGTGGCTTAAAATAGCTGTTCCTTCCCCAGAGTGTTTACCTGGATGAACCCTATGCACATTCAGTAATCATATACCACTAAGCCTTTCTTTCATTAACGTTCTCTTCACATAGATTGGTTGTTCAATCCACTCAACTTTTTTGCACTTTTTCTCAGTTCATAATCAGAGGCAGAATTGTCCCCTATATCCAAGGCTCCGTGATACTTGACAGAGTGACATCATACTTCTCAATCTCTACTGAAAATCTTCTACAGAATTGCATTTATCTTTTAGGTGGCTGAATAATACCATGGACTCGTAATGACCCAGTGATCAATTATTACGTTCTGGCACTTTCCAGTCTCTCACTTCCCCTGGATGAAACCTCTATTTTATCAGAAAATTTTGTTATTAATTGTTATAATTTTTTATTAAACTAAGGATATAGCCTTGTGTTTTCTGTTAAATTTATTCTATTTCTCCAGGCTGTTAGGTCACCAGTTCTCTAGGAAGGACATTCTTGAGACAGCATTTTGTAGACAAGGCCTGTTTTTTGTCGTTGGCAAGTTTAACTAGCACTTTTTTTTTTTTCTTTTTGCCACTGCCTTAATAAATAAGATTGGTCTAAATACTGGTATAAGGAGCTCCATTTGAAACATTCCTCCAGCTTCACAGTTCTTCTCAACACAGACTCACTATCATTTCTCTTTTAGCCAGTTCTTTACCCAGTAATTCTGGTACTACTTACCATTTCAAGTAACAATTTCAGAAGCATTGCAGGAGCTTAACTGCCATAAAATCAGTTGGATCTATCAGGCTTCCATCTGTTAAAATTCTATTACTATTGGAGTAGGCACGGTCTACCTTTAGTAAACTTGCATTTACCCCAACTTGAATTTTACTCCATCTTCTATTTATATCCATATCAAATATATCCTATATATCCATATTGTTCATTTTCTTCAAAATTGTTTTAAAGCTCTGTGTGTTATTTTAGACTAGACAGAATAATTGCAAATATATTAAATGTTTTTCAATTTCTCTTGTTGCATAGCTCCACCCCAACATAAGACATGGATTAAAATCTCTACTATGTAAAACTTCATGCACTACTTCTTCCATTAGTCAGTAATGTTCCCCACTTGAGCAAGATGAGCTTTTCTAGTTTAGCTTCCAAGTCATGGTTCTTTTCATTTATAAATGTATACAGATATATATATTCTTTTCTGGCAAAAAATGCATCTTTGAGCTCTTCTCTACATTTTTGTCCTTCCTAAATGCTGGAAAAGTACTAATTACGCTGGGGATTTACCTTATATATTATCTCAGTGTTTTCCTCCTCATCTCCTTTTGTTTAGTAATTTTACCTATATTGCTTTTTCTTTTGCCTTGCTCTTTTGCAAGATCTAGTTATGCTTTATGTTTGGCAAATGTTCCTTGATACCTGCACCTCCTAGCCTCCAAGCCATAGCTTTCTTCATTCATTTCATTCATTTCATACATTCATTTCTCTTCTCCACTCCTTATAGGCCCTTTTCTTGTTTCTGCTCTCACTGTTGATTACTCATCCTGCTTCTATACTTGGAATGTAAATTCCAGATATTTTTTGCATCTCTGAGTAGACAAATTCCAGATCTCTGTCATGTTTAAGTCTGATTTATTCAGTCCATGCAGCTACATCAATTACTATGTATACCAAAATTTGCTCTTCTGGAATGAAAAAGCCCTCCAAAGTTCTAATTACAAAAACAGCTTTGTTTATTCCTCTGTTTCATTTGGACTTATCATCCAAGTGGAGATAAAAGGGCAACTGCTCTGTTTGTTCTATAAATGCAACTATCTCCTTCCCCACTTTTGCTACCTACTAAAATCAGTCTAAAATAGCATCAGTTAGTGCTCAGTGAAAAAAAAAAAAAAAAAAAAGCTTTGTCACACGCATGAGTGTCCACTGATTATCTGGTTAGGTGTATTTTTGAATCTCTTTTCAACTTCAGAATTCTCCCTCATCCCCATGTTTCACCAACCATCAATCTGAAATGCTTGTGGAAGATTTTCATTTGTACTGTCTTTTTGCACTGCAAAACTAATTCCATTCAAGTAATTCCATTAGTTTAGCTGTGAGTAGGACAGCAAGCCTTCCTCCAGAAACTGCTAGAAAATTTCACTTTTGTAAGTAGTATCACTTTACTGGTAGTAAGAAGGTTTAATACCAGATAATTTGTATAATGCTTGAGTTGTATGCAGCATCCTCTCCCTGACAGAATGCTGACAGTTGATATGACCCAAATTGAAACTAGTTGATACACACGCAGTAAAAAAAAAAAAAAAAAAAAAAAACATAATGAAGTGGCGTATTGCTATCCTGAACTATTATACTCTCCCTTCAGGACAAAAGATTATTATGCCTATAAGAATGTCAGCTTAATATACCTAAATTATTGATGGCACCACTAAGTTGTGATAATATATTAACTAGGACTAATCAATTATATGTTTATTAAAAAAGAAATGCCCTTTATCTGATAAGCAGTGAAAGTGCATTTATACTCACTGCAATTATTCTATTAAAGTGCATCTACTTTAGGGATAGTCAACAATAGGCTGTACAACCTTGAGAATAGGAGAATGGGTAAGCAAAGGAGAATGTGTAGGCAAGTGCACTTGGTAAGCAGTATAACAGCATCTGGAAATCTAATTTTCATATAGATAAGACAGGACATTCATTTTATTTTTATGATCTTTCCACAAAGGCACTATGATGCTTCTTCCATACACTTCCCACTCACCTTACCTATCCCTCAATGTATTTCTACACCCGTCGAAGTGCATAAAAGCCAGTTCTTTTGGGTCAGAAGGCTGAAAAAAATGCTTTGCATGCATAAAACATTTTAGGACAAGCATCAAGTATGATGGTAATTCTAACCTAATTCTTAATGAAATAAAATAGGCTAGGCCTGACTAATTTGAATGTCTATATACTTTCTGCGGGGTGTTAATTGAAAATATAGATATGTGTGTGTTTATATACTATAAACCATATTTTATGGTATGTAAACCATATTTGATAATATATAATTATTTTCTCTCAGCTTATCAGTTTTGTTCAAAGCTGCTGAGCTTTTGGGAACCCTGGGACCATTTTTACATCTTCTGTTTCATTATCTGAAACTCTATCTTCCATCTGGCCATAAAAAAGTCCTTTTTGCTCAGAGGACTTGTCACCTTTTCATTTAGAAAAGGGTGCTTGTAGCAGTCTTCTAATTTTAGAGAATACTATACATTGGTATTCCAGAGTATTGGTATTGGTCCATCGGTATTCCGGATTTGTTAGCAAACAAAAGTAATTAACTTTTTATTGCTGCTCAGTAAATAACTAAGGAAGGCAAATTAATAAGATTAGTAGTTAGAGACAAGCCTGGAGATAAGTGTGTTCCGATAATCAGCACAGTATGTTCAGTGAGGTGTCAGGCACATGTATGACTTGGGGGAGGCATGGAGAAGTAGTAGAAGAGGAAAGGGAGGGCAGAAAGCAATGAGGATGGCCAGAGTTAAAATATGGGAGCTGCTGGATGCTGTTTTTAAATTAACAGCTCTAGCCAAATGAAGGTTCCTGGTAATAGAATTTGTTCTACTCCGGTCAGGAGAAATATAGTCTTTCCAGGTGCTCTCTGATATTGAGGGATCTCTTCCCTTGGCATGCCAGCTGTGTTATGATAGCCAGATTGGGTGAGAGGTTTCTCCAGCGACAGACTCCAACATCGTTCCTGCCTCTCTGGGAAGCAGGTCGACAGCCGGCACTTCCTCTGCTTGTCAAGGGAATTTCCTGATCCCTAGCAAAGCTCCTGCTGTATATTTCTTCCTTTCCTTTGGATTTCTTTCCAATGACATTCTCTGCACATAAGGTCACTTGCCCTTTTAAGGAATGGCTAGAGCTATCCCGACGCCACTCCTTGAGTTGACCTTTGGAGCCTGATGATCATCTTTTTCCGTTTCCTCCTCTATTCCCCCACCACCACCCAATCAACTATTTTTCCTCCACACGGGGAGCAAAGCAAGAGGAGGAAACAAGGCCGAGAAGGGATTCTGCCACAGTTTCTGGCCCTACAACCTACACTGTATCTGTGGGGCAGAGAACCCCCCATGGCCATTTTATTTGCAACCTTTCCTTTGCTGAAGTCGTGACAAAGATGAGTGAGAAAGCCAAGGTTCCCTAGTGTTTATTCCAACCCAACATGAAATGCTTTGTGTCTGGCTGAAGCCATATAGTATTTTGGAAAGTACCACACTCTGTGTGGTTTATAATTTTGCAAGCCTGCAAAGTGGTAAATATGTAATAAAACAATTATTGAATGAAACAGTTTTCATGCGCTACAAATAAACCACAAATATGTAATAAAACAAAGATAACACAGTTTTCATGCGCTACAAATAAACCAAAGAAACCATTCTATTTATTAATGCCATCCCTAATTTTAATTTTGACGGTGATGGGGGGAAGCCTTCTCTCTAAAATTCCATTACCATCAACTGTTTTTCATTTTTAACATTTCACTTGCACAGAAAAGACATGTTTGTTGATCTTGGAAGTAGTGCTTCTACTAGTACCGTGGGACCGCAGTACACCAAGGAAGCGGCGGAGGTCTCTCCTCATGGCGTGCTGCAGTCGCACCTCTCTGCTTCCCTCAGAAACACATCCAATCCAGGCGGGCTTCGGGCCAGCTGGAGCCAACTCCATGCAGAGACAGCTGAAGCGATCCCGTCACGCAGGATTGTGGGAGGCCTTTTAGGTCAGGCGAATACGATACGCATGCACGGATCCAGTTTGGATATCTGACCCAGCAACCTCTCCTAGAGGGAACTAAGGAGATAGATAGCACTGAGGCATCAGCAACAAGCCAGGCCAGTTTCTGGAGGGAAGCATGGGAGCAGAATGGAAAGGCCAAAGTGTCATAGGTGACACCACTAGCAAGGCATTTACACTACAAAGTGTTACTTGCAAAAGAAAACAGGAAACATTACAATGACAAGCAGGCTGTTCAGAGCCTTCCATCCCTGGCCCAGCCCCAGGCCACGGAGCTAGCTGACACTCAGCATCCAGCTGAAGCTGTGAGCTGCTATTTTTTGGTTTCCGCTTATACTACTACTCTAAAGCTCACAAGTACTGTAGTTTCCTACAAGCCATAATGGAGCTATCAGCTCTCACGGTGGGAATATATTTTAGTGTTAGATAGTGGCTTTGCAGCTGACTATTCTGCATTATTTATACTGCATCCTAAATGTGTTTATCAGTATAAAATATGAACAGATCAATATAAAAAAATAAAGATTCTGCCATTGAAAAGCAAGCCAATTTCCTTGGGATGCCTTAGGTTTAGGTTAATAGAAGTTAATAGAAGCAATTCATTTACCTTTAGCTCCCAAACTCTGTCAAGGTAGTTCTATTCTAAAAAACTTTTTTTCTTTTTTTTCTTTTTTTTTTTCTCAGCATTTACGATGCCACACACAGGATCACAGCAGCCTTCAGATTGTTCCCTCAGGTCAGGAACCGTTTCTAAATCCTATGACGGCCAGGTAGGCTGTCTGAGCCTCCTACTATCTGTACCCGCATCTGAACCAGTATTAGTACAGCTTCTTCTCCTGCTTGGTATTTAAACTGAAATTACTTTTAATTGTTCCTTGTGTATTCCGAATGGAAAGTGGCTCACACTTTCCACAAAATGGCTGAACTGTCCAAATCTCAAAACAGTAAAATGTTCTTTGCACTTCATTTTTACATACTGTCAAACAAATCCCTTTAGGATTGCACAGAATCTCTTTGCTTAGCCAGATATCGCAGGCAATCCCATGTGGCTATCCAGCAAAGCCAAGAAAATTACTGCAGGGATGGATTTGGCAGGACAGCATTTTTAACCGGGTTCCCTTAAGCAAGAAATCAGCACAAATGTACAAATCTGGCTGGGTTTGAAGGTTCTGTTTTGCAGCCATCTGTGCAGCCTTCTATCGTTAAACAGGAGTAACACAAATTCTGGACAAAATGATATTCCTTTATGTATGCGTTTATGTAGAATAAAAATACACAGAATTAGGAAAGCTGTAAATATCAAGAAAAAAAATGTTTTGAATGATGAGGAAATGCACAAAATAGTACACATGACTAAAAACCTAAGCATCCAGCTTAAGACATCTTGACTTTGCAATTGAACTTCTGAATCCTGACATGATGTCTTAAGCTAAAAGACACTGTTAGAAATGTACTGCGTGTACATTTTTCAGAAAAAAAAAGTATATATAAAGCTGAAATATTGCTTCCTTTACAATGATACATAAAAAATTTGTATCATTTTTGTAGAAGTGGTAATGTTCTCCGTTAGTGTTTGCCAGATCAATGAGTAATTACATGGTGGAACCACAGCGCTGCAGAAACCCACTGAGGTCAAGAACTTAGTAAATTCTAAGAACGTATGTAAGTAACAAAATGCTCAGAGCTGTGGTTACTAATTATTTTGGAAGGATTATTACATTTCATGCTTCACATTTAAGAAAATGTCTTTTTATCGAAGATCAGGATTTGATCTTTTAAAGGGACAGACTGTCTCCTGTTTGCAGCAGTGAGTAATTCTTGCATTCCCTCTGCAGCACCTGATCTTGCCATAGCTGTAGAAAGATACTGGGCCAGAGAATCTCCAGTCTGATCCAGGATGGTATTTCCTGTGTATCGACCTCTAAGCTTCCCATGACATTCTTGCTGTTTGGGAGTTAAAAAAAAATAGTTACTACTTCACCATTTTGCTTTATTAGTAACATTTCAAGGAGGATGTGTGTAAGCTATGGTACCAGTTTGTGGATTTGATCAGCACACCAACTCAACTGTTTTTTTTAATCTCTGCAGTCAGAGTTTTTAAATGCAGTTTCACACAAAAGCTGGATCCACATTCTGCTCCCAGTCCTGTTGGGATCAGCTTCTGATCAATTTATGTAGTGGAATAAAGTGGGGGTTTAAGCACACATTGAATTATCAACTGAGTACTCACAAATTCAAATAAAATCAGTATTTCTGTTTATTAGCAACCCTTCTTTTTATTTTTTTTAAACTCCCTCAAGATCTACTTGTGGTCAGTCCTTTCACAGCTCCTTCTCCCTTACCTGCACATAGATGATCCCTTGCAAGGAGCACCGCGAGCAGAAGATACGTACACCTAAGGAGTGGTACCAACTTACCCGATCATGGCAAAAGCCCTGCCAAAAAATTACTTACAAGCAATAACTAGCCCCTCATGTTGCAAATGCTCCCCATGCCTCTGGTCTGCACTGAGCAGCACTGGAATAGTGAAGGGGAACCCACCCGTACGCCAGGAGCTGCTTGTGACAGCAAGGAAATGTGGAGGGAACAAGGGGATGGAGCTGACTTCTTTATGTGGAGATGAGGCAAGCAGGTTAAATTTATGGTTGGGATTTCCATATGAGATGCATGGATAGAGTTGCCTAAGTAGTACAAGTAGGAAGGGAGGTGTGGATGTGTATTTCCTGGAGAGGAAACTTTTTTGGTAAGTGGGAAAGAACTGTTCATTCTTATGAAGACCAGTTGTGCTAGCTGTGAACTGTGGTGCGGTGGAACCATCCAGTTCAGTTCACAGTACGTGAAATGGCATAAATGGCAGTTTCCACTTAGTGTTTTTTCCCAGCAAGAGTATCAGGAGAGATGTGAATGTTTGCGACGGTGACTAAGTGGAGAAAATAAAGGATTTGAGTGGAGAAGGTATAGCATAGATTATAGAGTAGAGTACAGGCAAAACTAAGTGAAATCAGTGAACCTAACTCTTCAATTTTCAAGAGCTACCAGGTTTTTCAACAGCTGTGAAAACTTTGCAAAACTTTATTCAATACTGGATCTGGTTTAAGTGCACTAGTATAATAACTGACAATATCACAGTCACTTAAAACACTTCCCTAGCTCATCTCAAATTTTTCAAAAGCAAAGAAACATGGTCTTCCTGAGGAATCCTTTCTAACTAAAAATAACTTTGTATCAGTTAAAGAAAAAATATTGTATATGTTCTTGGCAATCCCAAAAGTTACTTAGCAAGTTTATCTGGCATCAGCTTATATTAAAACACAGAACAAAAGCAAATAAAATGTCATCATTTTTAGCAGTTTTAATGGCTTTGCTAAATCCTAATCATGTGGGCTGGAAATTTCCATGTAGATTGTCTGCCTGGGCCTGTATAAACTTCCTCCAAAATTGCTCTTTTTTTTTTTTTTTCTGAGAAGAGAAGAGAAATCTGTTGGTGTTTGCTTTGGAGGCTTTTAATACTCCCAGCACATTGGAGTAGGGCCTTGAAACATAATTCAGAACAATCTGGGCAAGGAGTCAGGGAGAAAGAGAGAGATGTGGGAGCTGCAAGTAAAGAACAAGTCCTGGGTAAGTCCCTGACCATGACCATGAGGAACGGGTATGGCTGAGCAAGAGGCAGCAAGAACCTGCAGGGCAGATGAAAACAAGCTGGGAAAAGGTGACAAATCTAATGTGGAAAGAAGAGAAGAGATGCCCCAAGTCTTTGTTCCATCATGGTCAAGTGTCCCCTGTACTCAAGAAGAGAATAGTAATGCCATTTCACAGAGCAGGCCTGTTGTGAAAAAGCATTTGTGAAGCCTCTCATATAACAGTACTAACGGCTACAGAAAAGCCCATAAAGAAATTCATACCTTTGTCTTTACAATAGCGTTTGACTGAACTGCAGCAGGGTCATGCTCTGAGCAATGAGGCTAACACAAATTTCTGAACAGCTATTCACTATGTCCTGAAGGGAAAAAATAGCACTTGATGATGTTATTCAAGGCTGTCATAATGGAAACATCCATTAGTGTTTCCCAGACTTTCTATGCTTGAATTTGCAATTGTAAGAGTGTTTCTATTTCACTGTGTTTATGTGTTTGCACTTGCACTGCATACATAGATGCAATAAATATACCTGTGAAATAAAAACAATGAATCAAATGATGCAAGTTCTAGAAGGATTCACTGAACAGGCAAAGTTCAAACCAAGTTTTTTCCCAACACGGAATTCCCTTTTCTGTATATGGTAGTACCAGTTGGGCTCCATAAGATGGCAGACCTGCATATGTTTAACAGATGTTAGTGTGCTGGTCCAGCTCCAAGTACATCGCTTTAAAATGGTTGCTTTAAATGCTTGGTACATGTTTTTATTCAGGATGCTTCTACTATAATGTATTTAGAACAATAATGAACTTTCTATATCACTGTTCCTATGTCTAGCAGTGGCTTTGGACATAATCCACATGAAGCACATGCATAAAAATAAAATGTAAATTACCACTCAATTTGGAACTACCTGCATTTGAGCAATGTAACTCTTCTTTATAAACATATAATTGTTAATTACTCCCATTGATTCATTCTAGCAACTCGAACTTAAAGTAGGTTAATTTTTACAAGGTAATTATTATCATAAGAGAACACCTAAAAGCTCTTGAGTTTATTTTTTAAACAGAAAATTTCAGTCATCTGCTATACAACTTTTCAGTTCCTTTTGCAACTCTATTGAGGACTATAATGATTTAAATGCTGCCCCTGAAGTTACTTCCTATTAAAAATTATGATGTCACTTAAAACCGTTTCTCAAGTCCTCTGACATTCAGTTAGTTCTATTACTTTAAAAATCATTGTGTTAATTTAAAACAATTAATTGGTTTTATGACTAATGCACAATTTTAAAATATTGTTCTAGAAGAGAATACCAGTGATGCCTTTACCAGTGCTTTATACTGCTTTCCTTGCCACTTGCAATGACCCCACACTATTTTAAACCTAGAATTTTAAACTTGAATATCCCAAACATGGAAATGTTATAAATGCTGTTATACTTTAAATGATCAAGTAAGAAAGGGAATGAGCTTGCAGTCCTGCTTTTATGTTAGCTTAGCAAAACCTCATTCATAAATGTTATAATTATAATTACAAAGGCATATAATTTTCCCATAAAGGTTTCACTCTGTTTGTTCCACTTGGCCAGGACTACAAGTAAATGTGCCTGGATTGTTTTTAATATTTTGCAAGAATTCTTCTGGAAAAAAAAAAAGGCAGCAAGAAGTGTTAGTGCCAGCAGGAAAGTAGTTTGCATTCAGGAAGGCCGTGAAAAGGAAATCACAATAATTTTAAAATAAAAAGTGTTCTACTTCCCCGTGAGCAAAGGAAATAAAGCAAATAAACTGCTATGGATTTTAACTCAAAACCCTTACAAGAGCATATCAGGAATATTACCCTGAAAACTGCAGTTAGGGAAAAAAAAAAAAAAAAAAAACTCCCACTAAAGCCATGAAAAGGGTCTATTAGGGTCCATGTTCATGCTCGGAGTTGCAGTTTTTTTTATGTAAACATAGTCTTAATGATTATTTAGCCGTGAAATCTTAGTTAAAATACTGCTCCCTGACACATTCACAGACTTGTTGCTGACTCACTCTTTAAGAATGGGATTTGGAAAGAGCAACGAGGCATGCCAGTCACAAAAATATTGTAGAATTGAAGTAATATTCTGAGTGCCTGTTAACCTACTTCTGCACTTAGGCACTAATTCTATCTAGCCTTGCAGA